TGTTCATCATAAGAGGACTAAGCACATAGATGTTAGACACCACTTCTTAAGAGACAACTATGAGAAAGGATTGATCTCCATAGAATTCGGTGCTACTGATAAATAAATTGTTGACATCTTCACTAAAGCACTGAGTAGAGAAAACTTTGAGAGGAAAAGGTTGGAATTAGGGATGATTAAGATCACCTAATAGGACCAGCTCAGAATGCACAATGAAAAAAAATGAAAAAAATTAAAAAAAAAAATAATTGGCTAGGAAATCTGAACTTGTGTAAATATATAGATTAATTTTTACTCAGTTTCATACTATAATTAATATACTCCTGTGACATGTGTTAATATGACTTACTGATCTCTTACAAAATTTTCTCTATTATGGTAAATTAAGGCATGGCCAAGAGAATTCTAAATGAAGAACCTGGTTCATCAGTATGGGTTCATCTGAAAGCTAAGGTATGTTTTCTATATTCTGCACAATTAGAAATATAAATATTTAAATCATGAGCAGAAGTCCTACAATTGTTCAACTCCTTAGAAAATTCTATCCGTTAGTTTTGAACCAGTTCCGTCAGCCTTAGAACTCTAAACCACAAAAATTGCCTAAAATCTAGGGAAGCCTAACCGTTCATTCAAACCTGAAATTTCAGGTTGATTAGACCTCTAATTGGCCACTGCTAAGGCTGTCGTTATACATTAAATGTGCATTTCTCTTTAAATACACATCATTACCTCCTACCATATTCATAATTCTAAACCGTCAAAAATCCCTCTTCACTTCCACTTGCTTTCTTCTCCAAAATTCTAACTCACCAATTCTCCCAAGAAACCAGCGATCATGACAAACCCACAAGACAATCCTGGAACTCCTCCACCACCCACTCCCTCTAATTCATCTAGCTCTCCTCCACTTAGTACATCTCCCAAACCCAGGCTGAGAAGGGTGAAAATGCTTGCTCAGAAAACAGTAGCATATGGGGCTCTCTCAAAGGAACTAAATGAGAAATAAAAGGTAAGTCAGGTCCAAGACTCTGACTCCAACTCTGATTTTGAGTCATACAAATTAGCTAGTGAGGGGGAAAGACCTGGGTCTTCTGACTCTGAGAAGACTCAAGAATCCCCTTTTAAGGTAAGTTCTTCTTTGACTGAAAATCTATAAACTAGGTTTGTTCTGGTTGGGCCTATCAGGGATGTATAATTACCTGAGTTATGAAGGAGTGGAGGTAAAATGAAATCTGAAAAAGAAAAAGAGAGAGAAGGTGCATATGGTAAAGAGAGGGGAAATGGGAAAAGAGTGGTTGATCATTTACACACTGTTGATTTGTCTGTGCCTACTATTTGTGGGGTTGAACAAGAAAATATAGAAGAGAGTGGTAAGAAGTCAGGGGGAAGTGGTTCTGGTGAAGCTGCTGAAGGGTTAGTTAATCTAAGCACATAAGGAGAAGAACCTGGTTCATCTACTGAAGAGACCCTAACAGACCTATTGAAAAAGGTTGGGGCAAGTTATGATCCAAAGAAACGAAGAACTCTCACACCAAAAACCCTCAGTGCTCCTAAACCCTCCAAGAAAAGAAAGGCTTCATCCCCAACAACTACTAAAATTTCATTACCAAAGGGAAGAGCTACAAGAAGCAGGGTGAAACATAGTGAGAGTGATCTCCAAAAGGCTCTAGCTGAAAGTAAGAAGAAAAAGATGGCTAAAAGAAAAGGGAAGGTTGCAGAGTCCTCAGAGGCTGTGGAAGTTGAGGAGATGGAACAGGTCCATTAGGAGGAAGTTCAAACAGTGGAGGTTCGAACCCCCCAAGCCCAAAAAGCCCAAGACTTCTTCCAAGAAGTCTTCCTCTGTGTCTGAGGCTGCTGAACCTTCATTAGCCAAGAGGACAAGGTCTGCAGTGAAAAGTAAACAAGTAAGAATTTCTTAGGTCTAAATCCCCAAATTTCAATATTCTTAGGTTTTACCCAAAACACCCAATTTTCCCCATGAAAATCTTTGATTTTAAGTTGAAATCATGTTAAAAGATGTTAATGATTGAAGAAAACTAGTTAAAAATGACTTACAATTGATTTGGAGAAGAAAGGTTGTTTGAAGTATCGCCTCTTATGTTTTTGGGGTTTTAAAAAGTGAAAAATAACAGAAAATCTCGTTTATTTATACCCCTCTCAGACCCTCACCGCGAACCGCATAAAAAGGACTGAGGCCGCGGAGCTCCACCGTGGACCGCATTAAACGGATTGCGGCCGCACAGGCCTCGCTGAAGACTTGCAGTTCAGCACCCTATGCGGACCGCACAAAGGTGACTGCGGCCGCACCACCTCCACCGCGCCCCGCACTAAGGCGACCACGGCCGTGCTGGCCCCTCCGCGGTCGCACGCGATATCTCGCGGACCGCACTAAAGGGTTCTGAGGCCTGCAACTTCCTGAACCTACAACATCTAACTTTCTAAGCCTAAGGCATCCCGGAACCTACTCGAACTCACCCGAGCCCTCGAAACTCCAACCCAAGTATACACACAACCTCAAAAACATCCTACGGACATATTTGTGTCATCAAATTACCAAAATAACATCACGAGCATTGAATTAAACCTCAAGATCAATGAAATTTCCCAAAACTCTTTTAAGCCTCACATTTCTCAATTAAGGTCCGGATCGCGTCAAACGACGTCCATTTTTTAACCAAATTTCACAAGAATGACTCAAGTTATATATAAGACATGTACCGGGCGCCGGAACCAAAATACGGGCCCGATACCAACTCATTCTAATCAAATTTCATTTCAATTTCCTTAGACATTTTCAGAAAAATAATTTCCTTAAAAGAAAGTTCACTTCTCGGGATAGGGACCTCGGATTCCGATTCCGGGCATACGCCCGAATCCCATATTTTCCTATGGTCCGGGTTCGTTTACCCAAAATATTGACCGAAGTCAAATTTATTCATTTTAACATCAAAACTTAGCATTTTTCACAAAATTTCATATTTAAGCTTTTCGGCTACGCGCCCGGACTGCTCACGTAAATCGAGGCGACTCTAAATAAGGTTTTCAAGGCCTCGAAAGCACATAATGGGTAAAAAAAATAGGTGATGACCCTTTGGGTCGTCACAAGCCTATCTCCATTTGAGTGAAAAGATTATTCATAGACCATCCAATAATATTTTTCAGCGTGTTCATTAAAGAGAAATTTTCATAAAGCATTATCTTTTAGTGGTAATTAGCTATCTATAGATACCATTTGCTATATTACGGATTGTAGATACGTTTTCTGTTGTTATAAGATGTATTAGATGTATTTAAGCTACTGTATTCATGAATATAGTAGTAAACATTAGGCGTGAATCAGGGAAGTCCAGCTAATCTGTTGTTGTATTCAAGTGTATTTGATTGTATTCATGACGTAAAATATGGGATTACAGCTGGACAGATTATTGTATTCGACTGTATTCACGGCATGAAATGGGGGATTACACTATTTTTAAATGGAAAGTGAATCAATTAACATAATAGACTCCTAATATAACGCAACAAACTCAATTATAACACACAAATTTTGTATTTCCAGTTATAAAAAAGATTCTCAACCGAAAAAATACCCCAAAAACATAGCAATCTTTAGAGAAATTATATAATACATTTGAATACATAAATTATATTAATAAAAAAATATATGAATACATTCATGAAATATAGTGAGACATGAATATAATGAAATACATGAAATACAACCGAGATACACTGAAATACAATGAAAAAAAAGACAATGAATACAACGAAATACATGAAAATACAGCGAGATACATTGAAATACACTTAAAAAAAGGTAACAGAATCTTCAAGTTGCTCAGCCCCAAACTCCGTCGTCTTTGTTCAAGAACAACTCTAATGTTGTCTCGTCGAGAGGGCCGCGATTCTAATAAGAAACTATTAAAAGCCGATGCAAAATTACAGAGGTCAGTGGATAGAAGACGACGCCTTACCCAATCAAAAGGCAGACATAGGCTAATGAAAGGTAATGAATCTAAGGAAGCGAAGAACCACAGGGGCGGCCCTTCCATAAAGCAAGTAAAGCAACTGCTTTAGGCCCCATATTTGTGAGAGGCCCATTTTTTGTTACACCTAATAGATTATGTATAAGTTTAAAAAAAAATCTGTGAATTGAAAAAGTTCAATTTATTTCTTTAACAAATATAGAGAAGAAGGATTTGCAACCGCTAAGATTTTTGCCAAGGAAATTTGCACTTGAAATGAATATCGAACCCAAATTTCATAAGAAATGTGTGACATATATGAAGTAACAATTTGATGAGAATGTTGATAATGAAATATCATAATCTTTCGAAGAGCTCTTTAGAGGATGGGTTATTCACATTTTATTTGATGGAGTGAAGTAAAAGCTAAGCAGTGGAAATTCAAAAGATTCCTCGGGAAAAAATTAGAGATGTTTCCTACATTACCCAATCGATTACTTTTATACATAATAGATAAGGCTATTTTTTTTACTACAAAAGAGATTTGAGCAATTCGAAGCATATGAAAATATTTTTGATTTTCTATTTAAGAGTAAAAACTAAGATCACTAGATGATGAAAATTTAAAAAAATATTGTCTTAATCTTAAATGTCTCTTAAAGAATAATAATCAATTTGCTATTGATGATTTAGATTTATTTTCTGAATTAAAAGTATTAAGAAAAATAGTACAGTTAAAAGATAACAATTTAATTTATACACTCAATCAAATACAAAGATCTGATTCTTTTCCAAATGCCTATATTACATATGGAATAATGTTAATAACTTTTGTTATCGGTGCTTCAGTGGAAAGAAGTTTTCAAAATTAAAATTGATAAAATCTTACCAAAGATCAACAATGTCTCAAAAAAGGTTAAGTGAATTAGTTATATTGTCAATTGAGAAATACTTATTAGGAGTTATTGATTATAAGAAAATTATTACAGTAATAACTTTTTATCTAAGAAAAGTCAGAAAAATATACTTCAAATAAATAAATAAATAAATATTTAAAAAAAATTAAGGCCCCTCATAAAATTTGGCTTTAGGTCACAAAATTCGTCGGCCCTCGAAGAACCACCATAGTGAAGCATCGCCAAATTCTGTAGAATCAACTGGACTTGAATACCTGGAAAACATCCAATATTTGGTCGACTGCCTCTATCAAAACCAATCAATGTGGATAGATTATAATACCGCAAAGAAAGAGACGTGGAAAAACAAAATATAGAATGAGAGAGAAAAATAATACAAAGAATATTTTATGGTTTAAGGGTAGGAAGTAATCATAAATAAATATTTGGTTATAAAAATCAAAAGGTAACTATGGAATATAATTTTTTAAAAGAGTATTTATTTAAAATAAATAAGGTATAAACCTTTGCTACAGGGAGTAAAAATTCCTTTCATTAAATGCGGTTAGTATCGCTATTCCGCCACTCCCATCTGCTATATTAATATCAAAAGACAGACCAAGCTTCATATTAATATCAACAATATTGTGTTGCATAGGACACTAGTAGCTTTCCTCACAGGCGGATGCAATGTGGTAGTTATGGGTTCAATTGAACCCATAACTTTTGACGTGGAGTAAAAGTTTATGTGTAAAAATTTATTAAAATTGTAAAAATTAATAGATTTGAACCCATAACTTTAAAAGTATAATGGGTTCAATATTAAAAATTTTAAAAGTTGAACCCATAGAATTTAATTCCTGGATCCGCCTCTAGCTTTCCTACCCTTCCACTAGGGTAACTAACAAGTGTTTAGCGGATGTAAAATTTAACTTGTACTCAGTCAAATAATGTATAGAAAGATGTCAATCTCACATAGATTTGGTTATTTACTCTATTGTTATTTTATTTTAATTACTATTTGAGAGAATTTCAAAACTAGAGTTGTAAGTTAACTAACTAAAAATGCATAGACAAAAAAATTGAGAAATATTTTTATTTTTACAAATATAATAGTTAAAAAGGTATTGGGATCCTTAATTACTTTATTTAATATTTCTATTATATACCATATATATTTATTCTTTAATTTTATTTCTTACTAATGTATAAATGTCTCTCGCAATTATATTTATATATTATGACTTAGTTGAATAATTAATGGTATAAAATAGTAATATTACAGAGCTAGATATGTGCTTGCACTAAAATACTCTTTTTAGTAAGTCACTTTCTGTTACCCTACTTATTATAACTGATTACTACATCATTCGTCTCTCTCGATAATTAAGTGTAGAGTTAATTATAACATAAAATAAACAGATGTTGCTAAATAAATATTAACATCCAATAATACCACAATTAACTACATTACTTCTTCCGCCTCTCTCGATTATAGAATTAGTAAAAAATTAATATATAGTATAAAATAAATGAATGTTAATAAATCAATAACATTTAACTGTAAATCATATAAAAGTTAAATAGAAAGCTTCAGGTCAAGCAAGTGAAATTGAGAAATAATACTTATTATATAAAAATATAATAATAAAGCCACTATAATAGCTAAAATAAGAAAAAATATTCACAAAAGCGAAAACTTAGAAGATCGAGCTATTTATAGCAAATTCCGACAAGTACTTTCTTGCAACTTTTTCCTCCAAGTTGCCAAATAGCAAATGCTTGTTGATTTTAAAAAAGGTTTTCTCGTCAACCTCAACTCCAATTGGCAAATTGCAACTTCATGTTTTGAAATGGTGATGAGTTCCAAAATTAATTTTGACAACTTTTCTTTCCAATTTGAT